ATTGACATCTTTTGGAGGTCTGACCCAAAATTTTCTTCCTTATCGCTGCGGTAGTTGCTATTATTGCAAAACAATCGTTTGCCATTCGCCGTGGTCGCCGAAACTGCGATCAAAGAAAACCAAACGGACTTTGCAATTTAGGTACTGAGCGGTGACGTTTGGTAACTCCAAAAATTTGTAGCTTATCTTAACCGTCATGGGATATAGCTGACTCCATTCTTCCGGTCAAACGCCAGGGATTTTGTCAATTTTAAAACAAACGTACTCTTCGATCACCCCATCGGGTTTATTTACATAGAACATATTTTGTACCACCGCTACTAATAAAACATATCTCGTAAGGCGCACATACAAAATCTACCACGCATATGAAATGTGCGCTGAGGCCGATCCAATTCAAATTTGAGCGGTATCAGCCAACTGTTGTCAAATTTTTCAATATTTCAATATTAACAATCAAAAAATCAAAAAAATAATGTCCGCTGTTTCAACCAACCGCCTAATCAATTCGTCGATAAGGTTATATTCTATAAGACGTGTACTATATTTTAATCCGTGGTGAAAACGCTCGAGCCAACGTACGCTTCGCTTATCAATATGAGTCAGCGTTAAAAAATCTCTTTGCGGTTTCATAATGTAGTGGGCCATTTGATTTCCGTGATAAATTGAAATTTCGTTTGCGACGAAACATTCACCGTCCTTTAGATTAAACCCTTGTATATCTAGCGCCACGATCCGTTTTAAAGTCCTTTACATTTGTTTTACGATTTTAGTGAGCGGATTGTAATCAAATTCTTTGTCATGTAAAATGAGACAATAAACCGATGTATCCTTTTTGATATTAGCGCCAGTTTCAAATTCAATTCGTATTACCACCGAACCGGTTAGTAAAGACTCTCTTTGATGAGAACAATCGATGTGTGTAATGGGATATTTTTATTTGAAATGCTGCGGTGTGCAAATTGGTTCGTTGGACATTCCGTAATAAGAATGCCTAAAGTTGGCAAACATCATACAAAGTAGAATACTTGTTTTCTTTAAAATTTAGATTTAAATACTTTTATCTTAGTTAAATCGACGTCATCAAATTGACTCATATCCTTTTCTACTTGATCTTTCCTATTTTCGTGGAATGCGATAATGATATGACGTGGAGTATCTAGTTTATTTGTTGTTTTTACGGGCTAAGTGTGAGTTGTGGTTTCGGACAGAGATGAATATTCAATAATTTCCCAATATCTGAAATCGATTGTTATCACCTTATTAGACTCCATGATTTTCGTTAGAGCAAGTTCTTCAGCAATATTTGTTAATATATCTTTTTAAGCGAAACTAGTTGTTTCGGGAGTTGCGGTTTTTGGTTCATTGTCGTCTATAAATATCACCTCGTCTAAATTTAATACAATTTTTTGATAATCTTCGAAGAATCCAGAACGCATTTTCAACGGAATAGAGACATTAAATTTTCCGTGGTCATGTTGGTGTTATAAGAAAGATGAGATTTTAGCGTTGACGCCAAACCAGCGTTCCTCACTGCGTCCACGGTGACGCCATTAAGTTCGTACCGAATCGCTCTGAAGAGAAAAGCAATTCCATTGTTAATAAATCTCAATTTTCCTCTGTACTTGTTATCTTCATTAGTAAGGACACTTTCGACAAATTTTCACAGGGTCAAGTGAAGGAATCTAGTTCCTGAATAGGTATGCGTATTTCATCGTTATAGTCGAATTTTGAAGAAACAAATAGTTGATAGGTATGAAACTCTGAACTTACGATGGAGTTGTCGATATAGAGTCATTTTAAGAGCACTTGGAATCCCAATGATTTCTAAAAGTTGCGGTTTATGCGTGTTAAATATTTGCCGTTTCTAATGGCACTGGATTTGCGAACGATATTTCTCTTTTTATAGTTTTTTGGTGACTGATGGTTTCCTTATAACCAACAAACAACCAAGCAATATATATCTATATATCTATATATATATATATATATATATATATATATATATATATATATATATATATATATATATATATATATATATATATATATATATATATATATATTTTTTTTCCAGTCGTTTTATTTCAAAAGTTTGCGAGGACGCTCGTGGCCAGATCTAAATTAGGTTCAAAAATATCTAGGCAAAAGCTCTCGAAAGATCCAAAACGTCTAAAGGGACAGGTTTCGATAGTTCCGAAACAGATATGACCCGGTAAATATTATCGCTTCTTTTAACGGCAACATGTATTACGTTGTTGGCATAAATTTCCCTGTAATACGATAAGCATTTCCGGTGAATATCTTAATTAACCGGAAGAAACGTTAACGAATATTTGCATTATTTTAAATTTATTATCGTGAAAGGAAATGATGTTATTATTAAGTGACCGCCGCCGAAGTCAGTCTTCATTGTATGGATTTTTTTTTTAATTCCTTGCAGAAAAATAATGAGAATATTGCGACCGCTCGTTCAGCTGAAAAGACCACCTCGCGAGACACGGGCATTGTCGCGTAGCAGTACAAATTTGTGACGTTTGCAGCGGGATATACAAGTCCAAGGGGGCCCTCCGACGTCATCAACGAGAGAAATATGAGGTCCGTATGGAGCTATTCGGAAATTTCCTCTTGCAGACGAAGGAACAAGAGGAGGTCAAGTCCTTCAATGCCAAATATCTTCTGGTGAGCGGTAACACCGATCTGGAGGAGCTGTACGTCCAGTTCCGCGACATCCTTACTGTTAAAGCTTCCGAATTTCAGGAAAGGGACAGCGGTATGATTCATAAAAATGTGTGCTATTTGGCAACTATTTTTTTCTTTTTTTTACAGGCTGGGCGATGCAAAAACTCCTCTAAAGCCGTCGTCCTATATTAGCTTGCCCAAGGAAATGGAAGCCAAGAAACCAGTTTTGAACGTGCAAAACACGGACGAAAAATGCTTTATGTGGTCGGTCTTGGCTGCTCTCCACCCAATCGAACGAACAAATAACGCCAACAGGGTCAGTAACTATGTAGAGTTTCAGAACGAGCTGGACTTTACAGGTATCGATTTTCCCGTTAAACTAAGGGACATACCCATATTTGAAACACTCAATGTTTATGACCTCGAGAGAGTCTATAATGAAGGCCGTATAGATCATGATGATGAGATCGTTGATCCTTTGCACTTTACCGAATTTCGTAAAGAGAGGTACGTAAACCTCTTATTAATTAGTAACGATTATAGAGATAATCATTATTGTTTAATAAGAAGTATGTCTCGGCTGATTTCAAAACAATTAACAAATTGGCGTAAAGCAAAGTTCTTGTACGACGGGCGTTTGGTTTATTTTTATAATGAAGAAAAACTGAAGCGCCACATTTCCATCAAACTTCCGACCACCGGATTGCGCAAGAATAAATACGGTAAAGATGTTCCCGCGAATAAGCTAAAATTTGAGAATTTGAAAAGAAATTAAAATTGACTTTTGTGGTGTACGCGGACTTTGAAACAATCATGACTCCTTTAGAGGTGGAAGGCGAACAGAATCCCGACAAATCGTTTACCGTCAAAACTCATATTCACGAGCCTTACTCTTTCGCCTACTTTGTCAAATGTGACTTTGACGATTCTCAGTCTGTTTTTAAACAGTACAGAGGTCGAGACGCGCACAATGAATGGGTGGAGAGCGACCGCAAAGCGCTCTACAACAAGTTCGTGAAAACTTCCGTGCCCATGACCGCTCTGTTATTTGAACAAGAGATCGGGTTTCGAAACGCCGCGGCGTGTCACATTTGCGAGAAGCCCTTTGACCGAGAAGACGAAAAAGTAAGAGATTATAGTCATATGACCTGCTAATTTCGCTTGCAACTTGAACTTCAAACTTCCGTTACACATTTCCTTTACGAAACATGTCTTACTGGATAACATGGAGTCGGAGGAAGGAGGCAAGGGAAAAAGGGTATTTTTAAAACTCCGATTTTTAGATTCGTTTCGATTTATGGCGTCCAGCTTGGACAAATTGAGTCGAAATTTAAACGATAGTCAATGTCGCGAAGTCAAACATTTTTTGACAAATGAACAAGAATTTCAACTTATTCCACAGAAATGCGTTTTTCCATATATGTACCTAGATTCTTTTTCAAAATTAGACTAAACCAAACTACCATCGCACGAATACTTTTATGACTCCATGCGAAAAAGCATCATAACCATGAAGGATTACAAGCGTGCCTGGACGGTGTGGAATTTGTTGAAATATATAGGCGAATATTCCGATATTTATTTAAAATCCGACATTTTACTTTTAGTCGATATTTTTGAAAACTTCAGAGAGGTGTGTCCGAAAAGGTACGATCTGAACCCTAGTCAGTTTTATACGACTCCGAGTCTATCTTGGACGAGCGCCCTTAAGGCGACAAAGGTCGAACTGGACTTGTTGACCGACGCTGACATGATACATTTCTTGAAGCACGGTATCCGCGGAGGAGTCAGTCAGTGTAGTATAAGAAAGGCCGCGGCTAATAATACATTTTTACCTAATTACGACCCTTCCAAACCTACCTCTTACGTCATGTATTTGGACGCTACTAATTTATACGGGGCGGCCATGTCACAATACCCCCCAACGGGAAACTTCAAGTGGTTGGAGAAGGGTAAAATTCAAAATTTAGACATTAAGAGTATCCACAACGATTCACGAAGTATATTTGGATTATCCGGAAGTATTGCATGACGCACACAACGAACTGACTTTTTGCCCGGAATCCATCGTTTCGCCAATCGCAAAAACCAAAATTAAAAACTTATTCAAAATTTAAACAACAAACGTAATTATGTATTGCATTATAGAAATAAGCAAAGGCTTGAAGCCTGTTCGGATCCACCGGGTTCTTGCTTTCGATCAATCTCCCTGGCTAAAACAATACATAGACTTGAATACGGCAATGCGCAATCAAGCCAAAAATAAGTTTGAAAAAGATTTTTTCAAACTTATGAATAACGCATTGTTTGGAAAAACGATGGAAAACGTCGACGAAAGGGTGGACGTGCGGCTCGTTTCCCATTGGGAAAATATTGGTAAAAAATTCGGGGCAGAGGCGTTAATCGTGAGACCTAATTTTAAAAATGTCGCCATATTTAGCGAAAATCTAGTAGCTCTCCAAATGAAGAGGACTAAAGTCATATATGATGAGCCTATTTACGCCAGATTTTGCATTTTAGATATATCCAAGACTCTCATATACGACTTTTTTTACGGCTATCTCAAAGCCAAGTACGGCGACAAAGCCGTCTTACTCTACACAGGCACCGACAGTCTCGTTGTCCAAATTTTTTGCGAAAATTTCTACGATCACATGAAAGAGAATTTGGACAGATTCGATACGTCCAATTACTCGGACAACAACCATCACGCCATTTCCGTAAAAAGACCAAGGGCGTTCCCTACTCGGCTACTCAGCGCTAACTTAGTCTCGAGAACTATAACGCGCTGTCGACGAAGAAGGCACGCTAATCTTGCGTCAAATGTCTTCGTTTCCCTCCCATTTGCATGATATGTACGTCGAACGGAAAAATAAGGTGGCAAACTAATATGGTCGATTCGTTTAGATGATGGTGGTTTAGATTAGGGATATAGTTTTATATAATATTATTGTTTAATTTATGTATGTATCTATTGATGCCCATATATGTTATTTATATATGCATATCGTTCGCCTATATTTATTAATATTTGTCTATCCTGATGGGGTTTTGTGAGTGCCATTAAATGTCTTCTTCGCTGCAGATTTTTATTTAATCCGCGAAAAAACCATCAAACCGCGAGTAGAAGAGAGAGGAAACATGTTCGGCTCGGGGATCCCGTCATTGCTATCGTAAAACATTAACAGCGTCTGAGTGTATTGTTTACATAGATTATGCGGGTTTCTTTTAGAAATCTATAAGCGACGGTGTATATGTGCCTCATTTAGCTCAGCCCCCCTCAAACAATAGAGGTACAAAGTAAAATGCGAGCCAGTTTCAGTCAAACTCTGAAGAAGCCAACAGGATGGTTGGCAAAACTTTAGCAAGTAGGAGTCAACAAAAACCGACGCAGGAGGAATCCAGTAGTTTTATAAAAAGTAAAAAATATGGTGTTCCATGTAAAATTTTGGTTATCGGAGGAGTGTCGATAATGGCTTCATGGCTAGGCAAAACCATCGTGAAGACAAAGAGTCTCCCTGAAACAAGCCTCTGGATATGCTGAATTTTTTTTATTGTTAATTGACGCTTCTTACTCGTGGATTCTCCAGCGCGATCCATTTGTTCCGGTCTTAAGATGTTAGTAAACAGTTTTGTAGATAGCAGATTATTATTATTAAGAGTGCTTCCTTTGTAATACAGAAAGAATTGTCTGTTCGCGGAACGGTTGAAGGACTTCCAACTTACCCACTTAAATCGGCCAAGTTGGGGGGATTAAAATCACTCGCCCTTTTATTCAGGGCGGTCATCCTGTTCGCCTATGGAAAGGTAAGCAGACAATAAACGGTGCTATTGAAATTACGTTATATAATCTCACTTTTCTGTGGGGCCCTATTTTTCGCTCATAATTGATTCATCATCATATAGAGTTTCCATTTTAAAAATAAAACTTCATATAAAAGTGTTAACTTTTGAGATAGAGAGTTTCCGTAAGTAAAATATATTTTTTTAATATTTGCAATATCACTCTAGATATTTTGATGAAATTATGTGCTTTTGTAGGGATTTCACCTGTCCATTTTGACAGACATTGATGGTACACTCCTGATTTCTCTTAAAATTAAAATTTTCGTTGAAAAAAATAAAAAGCTCTTCTATGCATGGTCATAACAATATCGTTAATATGACACTATGCAGAGAATTATTATCATTATTATTTTTTACTTATGTAATTGTCTGTTTTATTAAAATACTTCAAAAAATCAAAGTGCAAATACGAAGTACGTAAATTCTGAGGTATATTTTTGAAATCTTTATAAAGAGCCTGTGTCTGCAAGAATTATAAATTTGGTTGACGAGGTGTTTGTTTCACAGTTGTTTGACAACAGTTTGTAAATTCATTTCTTCGCGTCTTATTAATTCGGGCATTGTTATTTAAAAAAAGAATGATCTAGTTTACTAATGCGGAGTGGGCAGATAAGTATTTTCTGTATGGGGGTAAATAATCATTGAGAAGGGGCCCATCGAGCCATAAGAACTCCAGAAATTTAACAAGCAGTTTTAAGTTCTATTGATGAAAATCATGAACTAAGTAGAAAAAAATGGAAATAATCTCAATATCTCGCAAGTATTGGTTTGGAAAATTTTGGACGATTACTTTACAGAGGTTTTCCCTTGCATGTTAATTTTTGTCAATGGCTCTTGGAAAAAATTGCCTATTATCACTTGTTTGGCCAAGAAATACTGTTTGCAGATGAAGCTAACTTTTTTAGAAATGCAATAAGAAATTCCCACAATAACCACATTTGGGCCGATAAAAAACCCCAGAAAGGCTATATGGCCATAATTATCACCGATTTTTAGAAAAGGATTTGCCAATATTGCTAGAAGTACCATATTTAATTAGGAACAGAATATGGTTCATACATGTCGACGCGCCTGTCTAGGTATCCACACTTAAATTAGTTTGGACTTTTTCTTATGAGGGCATCTTAAAAGTCAGGTTTATGGTACCCCAGAAGAGTTAAATGATCGTATTGAGAGCTTCGTGCGATTTAATAAGAAGCAGTGCAGATATACTTCAAACAGTGTACGGCAATATGGGGAAAAGAGCTGAAGCGTGTATCTTTCAAGTTAAAGAACACTTTCAGCAACTTATCTTGTTTCTATGTTCTACTTTTTTTCAAAAAGTTTGTTATTATTCAAAGAAACTTCCACGGGCTACTGTAATACTTTTTATAAAACTTCTGGATTCCTCCTGCGTCCGTTTTTATTTAGTCGAACTAGCTATTTTACTCTCTACCTGCTTTTATATTGTTTGAGAGGACGGAGCTAAATGAGGGGCATAAACACCGTCTCGGATGACTGTTTCCCATATTGGTGACAAGTAAAGACCTGAGTCGCAGTTAAGATTGTTAGGTTGCTTATAGATTTCTATAGACTCTCGGATTTTTCGTTGGTAGAAGAATTGATTACATTAAAGAATTTTAGTGTTATCGAACAACTTCCATAAATATATTGGCGACGACTGGTGATAGTGCTGAACCGATAGCTTTGACGTTGATATGAAAAATATGTAGCAGACAAGCATTTTTCAATTAAGGTGAGAATTTTTGGTTCCAGATTCTCGGATTTTAATATATCTGAAATGATGGCGAGAGTTTCAGGAATAGGAACTTTAGTAAATAAGGATTCTACGTCGAAACTAACCAGAATATATTGTGTATCTAATGTAATGATTGTTATTTGTTCAATTAAGTGAAAGGAATTAAGCACAAAACTGTCAGTTTTCCCAGTAAAGGGCTTTAATAAGGAAGCTAGATATTTCGCGAGAGAATATGTTGGAGAACCAATGGTGCTGACAATAGGTTGATGGGGTAATCCTGGTTTGTGAATCTTTGGGAGTCCGTAGAGACGAGTTATGAGGGGTGACAGATATTTTCAAGGAGTCTGATAGAGAAGAATCCTTAATGATAGATTTAAGATTGCGTTCCATAGATGATGTAGGATCTTTTTTACGTTGACGATATGATCCGACCTTTTTGTCAGCACCATTGGTTCCCCAACATATTCTCCAGCGAAATATCTAGCTTCCTTATTAAAACCCTTTACTGGAAAAACTGACAGTTTCGTACTTAATTCCTTTCACTTCATTGAACAAATCAAAAGCATTACATTAGATACACAAGATTTCTGGTTAGTTTGGACCTAGAATCCCCCTTTACTAATATTTCTATTCCTGATACTCTCACAATCATTTCAGATATAGTAAAATACAAGAATCTGGAACCAAACCACCTTAATCGAAAAATGCTTGCCTGAAACATATTTTTCATATAACGGTCAAATTTTTGAACAAACATCGGGAACAGTTATGGGTTCTCCACTATCACCACTCATCACGAATATCTTTATGCAGGCCTTTGAGAAGAAAACTTTCGACACCTTTCATCTAAAACCAAAATTATGGAACCGCTACATCGATGACACTTTTGTTATTTGGCCTCATGGCCAGGAATCCCTAGTAGATTTCCTTAGACATTTAAACTCTATACACCCTAACATACCATTGAAATAGAAATTAATAACAACCTCCCATTCTTAGACATTCTTATCAATAGAAAGTCAGACCTAACATGGGATCATTTTGTTTACATAAAACCAACCCACACATCACCATCCAGCCCAAAAACCATCGGTTATCAACTCTCTTGTTTACAGAGCCGTAAAACTATCTCAGGCCGAGTCATTGAACGCAGAATTAAAACACCTTACTTCTGCTCTTCACTCTAATAATTTCCAGATTAAAGCCTTCCATCACAAAATATACTTCACCATAACTTCCAATAGCAATGAAGCCGAAAGCAAACCCATACTTGCCACTGTTGTCCTTCCTTACATTCAAAACATCAATGACCACATAAGTTCTAAAGAAATTTATCACTTAACCAAAAATATCTCAACATCTTCAATTCGTCAAAGACAAAATTCCATTTGAGATGCCAGGAGTTTACAGTATTCCAAAGAATAAATTGGAGAAACCAAAAATATCAACTAGGCTCAAAGAACATGAAAGAGCCTTAAGACTAAGACAAAGAAAGTCATCAGCAGTTGCCGAACACAATTCTTGCAATTCTACCAACGAAAAATCCAAGAGTCCATAGCAATCTATAAGCAACTTAACAATCTTAACCGCGACTCAGGTCTTCACCTGTCACCAATATGGGAATCAGTCATCCCCTCATTTAGCTCCACCCCTTCAACATATGAAACGAATAAAAGAGTTTTTTCTGACATTATCAAAGAGCGCGACATTTTTAATAGATTGCTCACTTCATTGGTAGCAACCCTACTTGTGCCGCCACTCTTTTGCACACTCCATTCTTGGTTTTTGCACTGATCAAGCGCACAATGTTGTCCTTCCTTGGATGTAGATCCACTATCCAATATAAGTTGAACGTTGCCTTCTTTCATCGATCGCCGACGCGAATATTCGAGCCGTTGTCGAAATACCACTTGCTTCCTTGCAGCACTTGTTGGATGTATTCTTTTCTCCAACGTTTTACATAATTGACATAATTAAGTGTCCTAATCTGATCACTTCGAGGTGTCTAGAATCGGATGACATTGAGACTAGGGGTCTGAAGGTCATTATCGCCTCGATTTGGGTAGTTAGATTGTAAAACTCTTCATAATTTAATCAAATACCTTTTAATACACGTTTTAAGTGACGTTTACATGACTTCACTGCGGTTTCGTGAAATTCACCAAAATGTGGAGATCTTGCCGGCACGAAGTGGAAGGAAAGACCTAATTTTGGATATC